ACTATGCTACTAGATGGCGATAACATGACTAAAACTTCATGTATTACCCGGCGTAAAGAGTTTGGTGTGAAAGGCACATATTTGAGGGTGACGGTCCAAGGCCGGCCCTGATTAGCCTGCATCTCTTTTTTCCAACCCCGGGGGTGGCAAATCTGTTCTGGGAACGGTCCCGGAGCTTTCCGACAAAGCATTTCACCTGTTGTTGGTCTCATAAAAGATGCAACAGCTCGAATGATGAACCCTTCTCCTCTGGGATTGCAGACGTATAGAACGCGGCGCTGAAATTGTTTTATGATGAGGAGAGCTAACAGGGAGGCATTTCGTTGAATATAGCCTTTTCGGTTCTGAGTTTTCGCTCTCTTTAACTGACTTTGAAAAAGGAAGAGTCAGCACCGAGAATTGGTTCAAAAACTTCACAAACGATAAGATTTCCACAAAATTTTTGAACACACGACATGTTTCGCTAACACAGTAGCTTCGTCAGGTGATATACTGGTACAATGAACTAAACTAACGTTGGCTTGCTTAACTTTTATATATCTTACTTTCCCAACCTGAGGGATTAGTTACCTGTGGACAGGTACGATAAACCTCCACTTTTGTGAATTAGGCACAATATCTACATTAAATTACGGTATACCGGAATAACTTGAAATAGTTGATATCAATTACATATTATTACTCACTAAGAAAACAAATGCAACAGTGGTGAACTGTTAAGGTCTAATAAATCATTAAGTAAAATGTAAAAATTTTTGAGTTTGTTGATTTCTATAATGATTCAAAATGATTGAGTTTCAGTCCTTTATTTTCTACGTGCAGAATTTCGAAATTATCATCAAAACTATGATATGGTTTTACTTCTAATATATGGTTGGCGTATGTTGAATTTGTTATCTTTTTCATAAAATTCATCTTATGTTCATGAATGCGCTGATTAAACGTACGACCTGTCTGACCGATATATACCTTAGGACAAGATCCACATTTGAGTTTGTGTACCCCTGATTTTTCGAATTTAGAAGTTTTGTCTTTATTATTCTTGATAAACCGTCCCAACGTGTTATTTGTTCTATATGCCACTTTTAAGTCCTGTTTATGTAGAAATGAAGCTAATTTCTCAGTTCATGATCCAAAATAGGTTGAAGTTCTATAATTTTGATTATTATTCTTGATGGTAGGATAAACTTCTTGAATAGCTTTATGATGAAGTTTTTCAGAAAGAATACTGTCTATCAAATTAACGTTGTATCCGTTGTTGACTGTAATCTGTTTTATGATATTGGGTTCTTTATTGAAATTTACTTCCGAAAGAGGGACATTAACTAGCCTGTGTATCATAACTATTATATGCTATCATGCTATTATATGCGTGTGTTTAAAAATTTTGTGGAAATCTTATCGCGAGTCTTATCGTTTGTGAAGTTTTTACATCTGTCATGGATTTCCATCAAGTAACGTCCGAGTCAATTAAAAAAAAGGAAGAGAATTAGTTTTTATTTGAATGCAGAACAGAATGAATACGAAGAAACTGTCAACAATGGTAGGTGACGGGAGAAAAACAACTTCTTTCCTGGTTAATGCCGATCTGTAGGTGTCACTGCATTAACCTGGCTTAATCGAAATTAATAGGGAAAATTAGGGAAAGAAACACAAGTATCAGTATATTCGTTAATACGTATCATGCATGAATTTCGGGAGGATGTTATTCAATATGTTCTGCGTGATATTAGCCAAGCAAGTAATTGTTTTTCTCCGGTCACCTACCACTGTTGTTAATTTTATGAACATTTGTGAAAATTACTTTTGAGTTTCTTCGTGTTTCGTGTATTCAACAACTCAGTTAACACATGGACATCCAATGGATATCCACTGGACATCCTCCATTAATTTCATCTATGTACTATGGACATCCAATTTATAACCAAGAAATATCTCATGGACGTCCGATGGATGTCCAATGCGCACCAGCCTGTATGTACATCCATATGGATTACCTACAAGGATATCCATTATATATCCTCCAGACAGGTCCATAAGATATATTTCGAAGATATCCATGAGATGCCCTTCGATGATATCCATATGAAACCTCCTTCAAAGATATCTCTGAGACAAACTCCCGAGATATCCATCAAATATTCTTCAAAAATATCCATAAGACATACATCCCAAACGATAAGATTCCCACAAAATTCTCCAACATACGACATGTTTCACTAACACAGTAGCTTCGTCAGGTGATATAGTGGTACGATGAACTAAACTTACATTGGCTTGCTTATACAGGGTATGTCCCGACAAGCTTACACTATCTCTATATCGAGAATCAGGCGGGAGAAATCCATGAAAATATGCATTCTCATGTTTTAAAATACGCTCTCTTCATTTGAAATATGTTCAGCAACGCAGTGTTGCCGTTTCTATCAAAAAGTAGCAACAACTTTGTAATTTCCAATAGAAAACCCTGTATTTTATTGCATTTTTGGATTCTTCCTAGAGAGCTGATTTCATCGATGCATACACTTGGAGTCTATCGGAAATGATTACAGAGATATAGGGTGTTCAAAACCGAGATTTTTCAATATTAGGGTTTGTTTGTGTCGAAACTATTCATTATCGACCAAAGCGGCTCACATGTCCCTATCTCAACTTTTGATTTACTATTTACTGATATTTAATCGAAACAGATACAGGGGGATCAGAATTCTGAATCTTGAATCACCCTGTATCTGTTCGGATTGAATATCAGTAAATAGTGAATCGAAAATTGAGATAGGGACACGTGAGCCGTTTTGACCGATAATGAATAGTTCCGACACAAACAAATCCTGAAGTTGAAAAATCTCGATTTTGAACACCCTATATCTCTGTAATCATTTTCGATAGACCCCAAGCTCTTCACGGAGAATCTAAAAATGCGATGAAATACAGGGTGTTCCATTTGAAATATCAATGTTGCTACTACTTTCTAGTTGAAGCGGCAACAATGCATTGTCGAAAATATTTTAAATTAAGAGAGCGTATTCTGAAATACAAGAATGCACATTTTGATGAATTTCTCCCGACTGATTCCCGTTATAAAGACTGTAAGCTAGTCGTGACATACTCTTATATCCTACTTTCCCAACCTGAAGGATTAGTTACCTGTGGACAGGTTTGATAATCCTCTATTTTCGGAAATAAGGTACAATATCTACATCAAAATACGATGTACCGGATTTACTTGAAAGTGATGAACGTCTACAATATGTTTTTTAACAATCACATCGAGAAATGAAAATGGAAGTTGGAATACGGGATATGAACAGACGGATAATTTGTTGCATTGCATCCTTATGACACGGTGGCACGTTTCAAGTGGTAATAACTAAGGAATTGACACTATCCGAATCAATCTTGCATATTGAATACTTTCATAATTTCTATGGATATCTTATGGATATCCTCAAGATATTCACTGAAGGATATCCATGTCGAATTATGTGATGGATATCTTATGGATGTCATTTTCCAATCTAGTAGAAGAACGAAGAATCAGATAGATCTATTTCCATAAAGTTACAATCTACCTTCGGACACAGAAGGAACTCATGAATTGAAACTATCAAAATCAATCTTGCAAATTGAACACATTTATATTTGTTGTGGATATCTAATGCGATTTCTTGAGATATCTACTGAAGGATATTCATGTCGAATCCTGCGATGAATATCTCAGATCTATTTCCAAAAACCTTCAATCTATCTTCGGACACAAAAAAACTCATGAATTATCACTATTAAAATCAATCTTGCAAATTGAATACATTCATAATCGCTGTGAATATCTAATAGATATCCTTCAGTTAAGTACTGCAGGATATCCATATCGAATCCTGCGATGGGTATCTCATGAATGTCCAAACAAAGATTCAGATCTATTTCCATAAAGTTTCAATCTACCTTCGGACACAAAAGGAACTCATGAATTAACACTATCAAAATCAATGTTGCAAATTGATCGCATTCATGAATGCTGTGGATATCATATGAATATTCTTGAGATATCTACTGAAGGATATTCATGTCGAATCCTGCGATGGATATCTCATGGATGTCCTTTCCACATCCAGTAGGAGCCCAAAGATTCAGATCTATTTCCATAAATTTCCAATATACCTGCGGACACAAAAGGAAGTTATTTAAGTAACAAGTGGTACTTTTTTCACTAGTAGGACCCACGACGCTGAAGGCGGAGTGCGGCAATTCCTATGAGTAATCAATCACACTTTACGCACGTGTTACATACTATATCATTCGTACAACTATCAAAAGAGAGAACAAGCTCATTCAACTTATGATGTAAATTATTAAATGATATTTCGCAATTATTATCAAATACATTTACTCATTTCATCTCACTCTATATTGATAACACCTGGTTTCTAAGGACGAAATAGCCAGAGCCACCTTCGGCTAATTTGAATAGATCCCTCATCCCGCTAGCTATCAGCAATGCTGATCAAATCATACATGAGATTCGAGCATATTATCATCTAATACGTGAAGATATCTTGGCGCCCTATTCGCCCGCTCCCATCTCTATTTCACTAGCACTCTATACGAAATGATAAGTCAGCCGCCTTGATTTGTTCGCTTGCTGCCTTCCTGAATCTCGTAAAGGAGCCCATAGGCTGCATTGTTGCTTGTCTGTTCTAATTGTCAAGTGTATGGACTCCTTTCACGCAAGCATTCATTCCATCGCCTAGCAACATCCGTGAAAATAGTGTATTTATTTTCACATTTTTCCGTAAAATAATGAAATAGTATTGTGATATAAAAAAGAATTAATACTTCAGTCACATAAAGTACAATTAAAAAGTGCAGTTTTATTTTTACATTTGTAAGAAAAGTATATTCAATGACCCAAGTTTCAATAATATCCATAAAACTATTTTGGCCGATTCATAAGACTTTCATTCGGAAAAAACATTCATGATGATGTTTTTTTTTTTCAGGAAATAGTTGTGAGACAGACGACAGCGAACACTACATGCAAGAATCTGATTTCCATCATCACCCATCAAATATCGGTGAGTTACGTTTTAATATTTTCATGAAAAATGGGCCACAATCGATTGACGTTTCCAACCAATTTATTTCTCAATTAAATTCTGGGACAGCCTGATGGAATTGTACACACTAGTCGATTAGAGGCCGTATAGTCGGGGCTAAATTCCAAAAAAAGCCCTCTGTTACAATCCTAGAAGCATTTCATGTAACAATTGGATAAATGCTGTTAACCCCCTATTTTGACCCCGCTGAATCCGAAAATAACGTTTATCAAGTCAAAATTCCAACCGGAAGTGAGATATTCAAGATGGCGTCCAGAATACCCCTAAAATCAAATTATTTTCTATTTTCGGTCAGCTATACGATTGAGGTGTCGATGTCTATGTTTTCGGGGGTGTAGAATACGATGAGACACTCAAAAAATGATTTGAAGCTTTGAAAGTTCATCGAATGATCAAATTTTGACGAAATGGGCCAAAATTCCAAAGAACTTGTGAAAACGTGTTGTATAATGTACATGCTTGCATACGTTTTCGAGGGTGCTCAATACGTTTATGAGCCAAAAAAGCATTTGAACATTTTCCAAGCCTTTATTTCTTATATTTTGAAAAAAAAAGTTTACTATTACTAGTCTTCCTCATTTTTTCTGCTCCATTCGGCTCCCTGGCGCCACACTGCTTCGTGCCGCAGTGGCCGCAGAGCCCCATGCAGCCACAAGCTCCAAATTCGGGACATGACTTGGGAATAGGTAGCGAAGTCATCAAGATTGGGACATACCGTCCATCACCAATTTACCAGCCGCAATTAATCGGGTCTGGTGAATCAAGATACTGATCATGGGCGTTAAACCACACACTAGTACCTAAAAAGAAAACAGACTTAAATCAAACCCTTCGATTTTTTCTATTTTCTTTTTCTCCCTGTTAATCTCATCTGGAAGTGGCACCGAAGAATTTGTTGATGGATGCATCAGTGGTAGATGGCAATAATCATTCGCACTGTTCTGCGTCTGCCGTTGTTATGTCCGGTCCAACTTGAAATAAAAATGATATTAGTATAAAAACGGCTAACAGTTCTAATTCACCATGTGTCTTAGAAAAGGGACGCAACAAACCTTGTATAAAGCTGGCACCACAAACTGTTCAACCAAACGGAGATCCTTGGTGGCTATATCAGGAGTCTTTCCAAGCTGACTGAGGAGTTCACAGTAGTTTTCTTCAATGCACTGTTCAATCAAACGGAGATCCTCGGTGGCTATATCAGGAGTCTTTTCAAGCTGACTGAGGAGATTACAGTAGTTTTCTTCAATGCACTGCTTCCACCGTCCTGTTTTTGTGGCAGACACTCATCAAGATTCAGTATCACATTCGGAGATTGCGTGGAAATCCATCAGGTTTTTGATTTGTTGTGATGTGAGCTTTCTACATAGTTCATGAATTGGAATATACTTTCTATCTCGGGAAGTATCACACATCACCCAGCATTCCTTGCATTTCATATTTTCAATGTGATAGATGAATAATGAAATCACACTAGTGCCTTTAACAGGAACAACAATAGCCTCTCTTTCGGTTTTTACGCATGGAGTATATTCCAATTCACGAACTATGTAAGAAGCTTGCACCACAACAGATCAAACACCTGATGGCTTTCCACGCAATCACTGGATGTGATACTACATCTAAGTTAGCGTCAGTCACAAAAACAGGACGGTGAAAGCAAGTACATAGAAGAAAACTACTGTAAACCCCTCAGTCAGCTTGTAAAAACTCCTGATCTAGCCCCCGATGATCTCCGTTTGGATGAAAATTTTGTGGTGCAAACTTTATAAAGGTTCGTTGCGTCCCTTTTCTGAGACACATGGTGAATAAGAACTATTAGCCATTTCGATACTACTACCATTTTTATTTTGAGTTGGACCGGACATTACAACGGCAGACGCAGCCCATGTTGCAATTTTTTGGACAGTGCGAATGCTTTTCGCCATCTACCATACTGATGTCCTCCGTCAACACATTCTCCGGTGCTACTTCCAGGTAAAATTAACAAGAAACAAAAAAAAAATTTGAACAAATCGAAGGATTTCAATGTTATTCTGTTTTTTTTTTCAGATACTAGTGTGGATTAAGGCTCATGATCAGTATCCTGATTTATAAGACCCGATTAATTACGGCTGGAAAATTGTTGATGGACGATATGTTCCAATCCTGATGACTTTGCCACCTCTTCCTAATTCATTTCCCGAATTTGGAACTCGTGGCTGCAAGGGGCTCTCTCAAAATATGAGAAATGAGGGCTTGGACAATGTTCGAATGCTTTTTTGGCGCATAAACTTATTGAGCACCCTCGAAAGCGTATGCAAGCATATACATTATGCAACACGTTCTCACAAGTTCTTTGGAATTTTTGTCTAGTTCGTCAAAATTTGATCATTCGATGAACTTCCAATGCTCCAAATCATTTTTTGAGTGTCTCATCATATTCTACACCCCCGAAAACATAGACATCGACACCTCAATCGCATAGCTGACCGAAAGTAGGAAATAATTTGATTTAAGGGGTATTTTGGACGCCATCTTGAATATCTCACTTCCGGTTGGAATTTTGACTTGATAGACGGTATTTCCGGATTCAGCGGGGTCGAAATAGGGGGTTAACGTCATTTATCCAATTGTTACATGAAATGCTTCTAGGATTTGGCTTTTCGCAAAACAAGCCCCGACTAGTATATATCCATTTGATATTGATCTTTCCACGTTGAAATAGTATTTGATGCAAAAATTTGTCATCAAAAATCATCACAAATATTCTTTTCAATTATTAGAATATTCACCTCTCAAATTATATATAATATATTATATTAATAGTTCTCGATGACGTGATATACCGATAGGCACCAATAGTGTATACAGGATGAATCTGAAAGTAAGGTTTTCTTTTTAACAGGATATATATCTATCCAAAATAAGTTGTTTGGCAAAATAATGCTGATATAATAGTTATTTATTATACAAGGGAAAAAAGTAGTAGATTTTAGCTCCAGGTTGTGTTGTCTCCCGACGCGTAGCGGAGGGAGACAGAAAACCGTGAGCTAAAATCTAATATTTTTCCCGTGTATAATACACTATTTTTTTCTGTGACAGAAGGAAGGACGAATCAATATTGAGAAGATATTACATTATTTCGAAATCTGAAAATTATCGACGTGAAATTTCAAGTTTTTAACAGGAGGGACACCTGCGTTTTATAGGCATCTTTATCATTCTTTTGAAGTAATCAAATATCTGATGTCACTTCTGTCAGTTCAATTCTGTGATTTGATTTTAAAAAATTGCGAATTCAGTAGTTGTTCAGTAATATACTGTCACGATAAATAGTTGCTTGGCTTAATATTTTGCGAGAGGTAATATTAATATAGGCACTAATAGTTTAGGGGTAACTGAAAGTACGAGACTACATTCAAAGATAACAATATGTATTGAAGCATGAAACATTATGGGTGAAGTGATGACAAATATGAATAATCAACAATGAATATAAAGACCTAATAACAACTTACATTATAATGACCATTACGACGAGTTCTTGTCAAGTCAAGAGTAGCCCCAGACCAGACTAACTTCGGAACCCTCACATCCAATATTTATATACATCATTTTATTAGAAATGCACGTTTCTCATGAGAGTTCCTTGGTCAGTTTTTATAATTCAATGTCAACGGATGATTTGATTTACTTTATGTTTATATAACCCTCATGGTTCGAAATTACTGACATACCGTATGTTCTACTCGTGACAATACGAAACTGCGAAGTCGAATGGAAGATAAAAGGACTTGCAGTTCTTTCTCGGAGACGGTATTATTGACTCATTTTTCGGAACTATAGCACAACAAAAGCCATTAACAGAGTATATATATGTGATATATATCCGGGAAAAAAGTACTCACTTTTTTCCCACGGGAAAAAAGTGATTTATGAAAAGTGACATTTTATAACCTGACAACAGAGATGAAATGCCAAACTTTTTTCCCGCCACAGAAAAAAATATTTTATTTCATACTGCATCATAGAACATACCTTTACGTACCTGATTTCAATCCGGAAAATAGACTTCTACAGGATAGGCGCACGTAATATTTCATTACGTGCTATACTATCCCGTAATGAAATGTTACCGGATTGTAAATATTGAAAACTCAATTATGCGTCAAAAGCATGAATACATTTATTAAAAATTCAACAGCAAAACAATACACAGAAATTACTTATTGCTAATATTAATATTAACCGTTAAATTTTCGTTCCCATGAATATGGATACCAGGAGCTCCATTGGATGAATTATTCATTAGGGAGTTGCTACTTGCTGATACATTCCCATTTTTTTGTTGTAGCACTTCAACAAAGTTTTCTCCATGCATGTTGAGTCATGCGAGCTACCCTGTTTTTCCCCTCGATCGAATTCTCGATATATTTTTCCGCCACCGGAGAGCTCTTCCATCCCCCGTGTCTCTTAAGTACCAGAAGATCGGCTCCAGCATCAGCCAGTATTGTGGCAGATGTTCTTCTAAAGCAATGCCCCGTAAACTTATCTGCTTCAGGCAGCCCCAGAAATGACGCTATTTTTTTGGGAGAATCTGCAATAGAATGAATGCCTACCCTTTGGGAAATGCACCTGCCTTTAACGATATGCAATGAAAAGGTCCTCTAGGCCTACATTCTTCGGTCGTGATTTTAAATATGTCTTAAACTTTTTTATATAATCCTGATTAATCACGGTAATGACAATCACTGACAGTATTATTTAAAACAAAAATTATGTTTCTGAGGAAACTACCTGCCAGCTATCTTGGGAGTAAATGCAAAATTCTGAAATTACTGGACGCAGATAAATAGATTAATATTTTATTTTTCACTGTTCATTTTTGTTTTTTAGCAGTATGAAATAAAATTTTATACGTCACACGTCCGGTAAACTTTTACAGTACTCGTTTCGAAATTCCGGACTCTGCTTGTAAA